CAGATTTTCTGCAACTTGATGTGAGTGTAATTGACTGTTTTTTGGGGTAGTTGTTTTACCCTTTAATTGACTCTTATTTTCTACTTCTGAAGGCTTGTATGAGGCTTAAACTTCCACATTTACTCGTCGTTTGTTTATGATGGAATGTAAAACCTCCAGTGATGTCCTGTACTGTCAGGATGGTGTTATGTTGATGTGCATATAATTCATCTAGAAAAACGCTGGACAATTTTCGTTGAAGGACTACTTTGGTCATCCATTCACTAGTAGTTATATCAACCTTAAGACTGAATGTTCTTAGTAGTGACTCAAACTCCATGCTGAAGGATTGTAATGAGTCAGCAGTCTGATCAGGTTGAGGTAAATCCAGCAATTGTAGTACAAGATGTATGACAGTTTTCTCGTTGCCAGCATTATTCATATTGACTAGATGATAAAGCCTTGTGGGGCTTGTACTTGGGTTGCTCATAATGCTGAACAAGTACTGATGGTAGCCTAGGGTAAAATTCCTGCACTCACTAGGCTGTAATCCTACCTCTACTAGAGGTTACCACTTAAAATTAATACACAATATATATATATATATATATACAATCATACACACTAATGATTTGAGTGATAAACCAGTGTCACTGGAAGTACCTTTAGGTTAGCTTTTCTATATCACCCTAGGATGGTATAGACACTAATTAATCACTCAAAGGTGTAATGATCATAAGTAAATTATTATATATACACAACTCGAGTTGATAAAAATTACACCCAAAATTGGGTCTGCACCATTCATTAATGGTGCTAGGTTGTTCAATATAGTACAACGAGACTATGGTAATAATGGGACTAGAACAATAAATAGTTCAACTAGTCAATGGTAATAGGGGACTAGGTTATCTATAAACACTAGTCATTGTATATCCTACCCTGTTGTGGGTTGGCAATTGGTAAATATTATATTGTGAACACTAGTGCAATATATATTAAATAATTCTCTATTTTGGAGAAATAATATACACAATTATTGATAATAGCCTCTTAATTGCCTCTATGAAACTTCTAATATTATCAAGAAGTATTAAATATTATTAGTGACCTCGCGAAATTAACTCCACAAAATTCGTGGATAATCTCTCGCGAAATTTAACACCACGAAATCCGTGAACAATCTTGCGAGGACACAGCCACTAATTTGGCTGGCTTCAATATAAGCGCTGTCACGGAATAAGAACACACCAAATCTGTGGGTGACCCTGAAACTGCTGATGAGGCTGAACTGAACTGAGAGGGGCTCCTGAGCTCGCTCGAGGCAACGCCGCCGTCTTTGACTGGCTTTGTTGTTCACTAATTTATTACACTAGTTTATTTAATTTGATGACAATCTAGCTCTCTAGACCATCTAGGTTCGAATGACCAAATAATCTAGGTTCGAAGGACCATATAATGTGGGAACCGACCTGTGAGATTTATATTTATTTAATTTATATGAATTTATATAGAATATATATTTACATTAATTTATATATTCCGATAGCAATTTGTATGATGTTAAGTGGACTGTATTTCTGCAATAATCTCACAAATCGATCCACTACACATTAGAGGAGGGTTTATATTGAATTTATATATATGCAGCCAATCAAACTACAGTATTAAACTACATATATTAGTATACATTGAAGAGGTTCCTTATCTTATTATACAGCAGGCTTAGTCCATCAGGTATAACTAGGATGTAGACACCAAATTATCCTCTGTGAGGCAGCTTCCATCACCCAGTAACTGATTCACAAAGCTTGCTTCCTCTTCTTGACCTGTCGAAAGGGCGCTAGCTATGAAGCCAGAATCCTAATATATGACAGCTATATCAGAGAAAACACTGTACAATGAATCATAAAGACCAAGACTTAATTACCTTTTTTAAAGAGGCTGTTCGCATTCTAACCGGTTAGTCCTTATCTACTGACATTAATGGCCAAAAAGATTAGATAAATGGGTTTCGACAGAACACTTTCCTTGTATTTGGTGACAGCGTGTTGATGATGGAAGACCTTTGGTTTCTATAACACTTCGTCCAAGAGAAATTAACAGGAGCCGAATTTGCTCCCGTGCGCCTCTGGTCTTAAACAACAATGGCTGAACACTCCCTCACCACTGACGCTACTGGCCTACATTGTCCACATATCAGAAAGTGATAGAAGGGTCACATTTACTTTAATTTGATACTAATAATTAAGTTAATTAAAATGAGATGTTTTTTGATGGTAAAATTCAAAGACTAATGTATTTAAGAATAATTCCCACCATAATAGGTGGCGAATTTATAATAGTATGTGGCAATGATATCCCGTTTTCTGTAGATGGAAAATTCCACTACGTTACATTTTCTATGGGTAACTTGTGTATACAGTGGCAGCATTATTATCTACCTGTATGTAATATTATTAAATGGTGTTGGATTTTCCGACACATATTGCATACATACTGGTTAAAATCTTTAATCGATACCAGATGTTGGCCTTTCAACATAAGCACAAGAACTATCTCTTTGTTCCTCTCTGCCTTTCCTAGCCAGTGTGATGTAGTAACGACTAGTATTTTCATTCTTTTCTAGTCAATAAATAAAGATTCTGACTTTGTTAATTTTTTCTACTTTGGTGATATCCTCAAATATCATTGAGGAAATTATATTTACAGGCCAATTAATATGTCTTTGACACCCAGTCGCATTCACATATCGTTATGTGTTGTTGTTGGCATCGTTGTTGTCTAAATGCTAGACATTTATAGGTGACAAGACACTGTTTAAGACAGATGTCAGCTTCACCATCCAGATTGAAAACAAGATTTTTTCCCTGCAATCTTTTGGGATACTCAACGCGTGATCCGTGTCTTATCGGGTGTTCAGTTTGAGCACAGTTAATGTAAATCCCTGTTAGATACATACATACACATTCGATCCTTCTCTTTCTTCTAGACACCGAGCTATTTTCTCTTTTACGTCATCACCCCAAAAATCCACAACTGTAGATACCTTTTCTCTCGTGATTGTCCTCCCGTCGCCTCGTATGAGAAATGCGTCATTATTGATTGGGTGAAGGAAGTCTTCCTCCTTCAGGAACATTATAAATTATGGATGATTAGGGTTAGGTCTGGAAAAATTAAAAGTGACGAGTTATTGGGAGTGAATTGAGCAGTGATGTGATCAATGAAAAACTGTCTATACATTCTTAAATAAATACCAGATGTGTTTACATGTTCTGGGATCGGAAATGAGAAACGACTGCATGCCCCATTGTAATTTTCAAACGTATCTAAGAGTTGGGGGAGTATGGGAAGAGGAGGAAAACCTGGGTGATGCTTGGGTGGTGGAGAGGCAGGTGATGCTGGAGCTTCCAGAGGGGGTGGTGAGGACAACTACTTGGGCTGGATGATAGAGCAACAGTCTTGCTTCATGCAGGTCGGCGTTCAATCCCCGACCGTCCAAGTGGTTGCGTACCATTTCTTTCCCCCTGTCCCATCCCAAATCCTCATCCTCACTCCTTTTAAGTGCTATATAATCATAATGGCTTGGTGCTTTCTTCTGATAGTTCCCTGTCAATTCAGAGATTCTGCTAACTCTACCTACCAAGTTATCTCAGGTGCCTGACGAGCAACAGCTCTGAGTTCAATGCAACTTGCTTACCAACATCCTCCATTTGGTCTTCATCCTTGGTCTTGGACCCTGAGACCACCATCGTCACTGGGCGAATGTCCCGACCTTGGTACAGCTTCACCATGTTCACGTGTACCAACATCTGCTTCTGTTTCCTGTCCTGAGTACTAAGGATATAGTTAGTAGCATAAACGTTCTTGATAACAGGGTTAAGGACTAATAAAGGTGCTTCTCAAGCTTCCTGTTACCGTTGGAGAACATATCAGTTCTGGGTCTCCTACCTGAAATTCCTGGAGCCGGAACTTCACCGTGCAGGATACCAGTACAAAATGTTTTAGTGTGAACTGGAAGTGCTAGGGGGGGGGGAGGGCGGGGGTGATCAACCACGGAGCCACAACATCGGCTGAGGAGAGAGCAGCGGAAAAGGTAATTGTCTGTTCTCGGTTCCTTATCTAATTTTTAGTCCAAACCCCATGCCTCTTAGGGAATAGGATGTTAAACTAACTTAGGGATAATTAATTTGCATTATTAAATAAATTGACTGTTAACTGTCTCCCGAGTATTTGTATTTCCTGTAATTATTTCTGAGACATTGATCTTGTATTGTTTTGCCATTACCTGTGATCTTATGAGCATTTTATCAGTATATTTCCTCTGTCATTCATGAAACCAACATAGAAGAAATTGCATTCGTCCAGTAAGAAAGATAGCTTAAAGTCCCTAGTTGACTGGTCTCCTCCTGAGTCAAATAGCCAATTTTATTAAAGTTCTAGCAGGAGTGGTGGCGGCATTTGTTCGTTTTGAAACGAGTAACCTTATCATCCATCTGGTCTGTTTTGACTGTGGAGATATCTTTAACATCTTAGTCATTTCTCCTTCCTCTCCCTAATAACTAGCTTGAGCATTTTCCGCAGTGAGGGCGGAATCTTCCCAGTTCTTTGGGGTTATACAATACAATTGTTACAGCCTTAGGTTACAAATTAACAGCAACCATTACAGTGAGTGTTAGAGCAGTGTTTGATTGTCAGGTAATGTTACAATGGTAGCAGCAAGTTATTAGAATGGTTACCATCTCACAATTTCAGTGTTATAGGTTAGCTTAAAACTGATGAGTGTGTAATGTATAAGAGACATTAATATAATTAAGAGACATTCCATCTTATCATTATTATTATTAGCATAACAACTGAACCACACACTGTAAGGAGTCTTTTATAAAGTATTGAGGGAACAGAGTTATTTAGAATGGATTAGTGTTGAATATGAGTAGTACTCAGATGACTAGTTTACACTTTGTAGCAGTATAGAGAGTAATAGTACAAGTGGATGAGAGCCTTGGTGACTACCGCAGGAGGCGGAGACGGAGCCAGAGGTGCAGATCAACCTCAGCTGCAGGAGAGAGTACGTCCGCTCCAGCAAGGTGGTCTTCTGCTCCTCCAGCGGCCGCTACCAGCCCCTGGTGGACCGCGAGACTCTCCTCGACCTCCTCACACTGCCCTCCAGAGTACAGTTGAGGGAGGACGCCCACAGGCACCGGCGCTTCTACAGGCTCCCTCCCACCAGCCTAGAAGGTGGGTGGCATAAGCCAGGTGGCATAAGCCAGGTGGCATAAGCCAGGTGGCATATGGCCTAATGTTAATCTTCCAGTGTATTGTGAATGACTGAGGGGAAGGTGGGGTTGTGGAAGTCATGACCAGGAGGGGGGGGAGGAAGGTGGGGTTTTGACTTTTTGATGTGTAAAATATCAACAAGTCAAAACCAGCAATCAACAGCCAATAACACACAATTACATTCTACCCACTTCAAGACCCCGAACCAACACAGAAGCAAGAAGATAAAACACACAACGTACCCCATTGATTCATGTCCTATTCACCTTGTGAATAAATAAGTGAACACATGTATGTTATACTCACACTCACTGGAAACTGCAATTGCCCCTTCACGTTTCCACTCACTTCAATAGCAAGGAGAGGAGAAACTTTACTGTGCCTATCAACTCACTGCCACCACAACTACTTCGGGAAACATGACTTACGTCGCCTACCACCATCTGCTACCAGCTACTACACACCACCACCACAGCGAACACTACTACACATATACTGGCTGAGTGAACTATTGATAAAAGCATTCGCCCCCTCGGCGTAGTCTGTTATGTCATTTAGTCATTAATGACATATGATTTGTCCATATATGTCACACTTCAAGTAAATATAAAGAGAGAGAGAGAGAGAGAAACGTATGGCTAGGAAGCTCTTTACAAGGTTCCAGTGGAATTCATAGGGAATAATCTTTTAAAGCAATTTTTCCAACTATACGTTGATAAAGTTTAATCTCAGTCAGGCAGTCATTTTTTTGCACAGGAAAATCAATATGAACATTTTATATGATAGTTATTTCTCACCTAAGGCCACCAAACACAATGTTCCTCTCTGACAACCCGCCCACCATTATAAGTCCAGCTACCAGGCACCATCTCCCAGAGGGGTAGCACCCTACACCTGCTACCTGCCGCACCTGCCCACCAATGCTCCTTACCACCACCTCCCTCCCACAAGTGTATTAGTCTTTAAACAGATTATCATTCATTCTTTATAACATCTAATATCTTAACCTATTTTTAAGGAAATAGTTATTGCTAACCAGCGAGTAGAAATATTAATCAGAGAATTATTTTCATCTCTGCGATTAAGCACACTCAATCTCTTTTTGCTTTCACTGGTTCATCTGTCTTTGTCCCCACCTTGTGAGGATAATTTCACGTATTAGATACAAATTAATAAGAAACAAGCTCATAGAGAGAGAGAGAGAGTGAGAGAGTAATGCAAGCTTTCATTTGTAAGATCCGTTCGAGGAATCTTGTGAACTTGTCAGTCTACCGGTTACTCCATGCAGTAGATATTGACAGTCTTCATCCACAAGCGTTTCATCTGCACACCTCTAGATAGCCAACATACCTTGACTGTAGTAGTAATTAAGAGCTTAACATAGTATAAATTTCATAAGATAGTCAGAAAGATATGTTTCGCTTCTCCTGCTGAGAGGACAATGGGATGAATTTGTTATTTGCCGAGTGCTAGAGATCTACCCCACCATAGCTTGCACCCAATCTGATATAGATACGTATTCACTTTAATTCACTTCAGTCTCTCTCTCTCTCTCAGTCCAAGTCTTGTACACTACTCCTCATTTAACACTACACCCTTGCTTATACCACTTCTCCTCTTTAGTTTACAGAATTGCTTACTAGTTCTTATTTCAGTGTATTTCTTTTTTTTTTAACACATTAGGTACATCTGCATTAGTGCAGCTACCCTAGACTATATGAAGTGGTGTACAGTGTGTCAAAAAAGCAAACTAGGTGATGCTAAAAATCCCCATCACACAGGATGGTTAGTCATACAGAGGCATGTGATAAGCGGTCTGCACTGGCAGACTCCGGATGCATTTTGAGGATATCAACAACGCAAGATTGAATAAGGTAGCAGTGGTAATACAGTCCCCATCTCGCAGGATGGTTAGTCATACAGAGCCATGTGTTTAATAGCCTGCACTGGCAAATTTTGGGTAAACTGTGAGGATATCTTCAAGAATACGAGAGTGAATAAAGTAATTGCAAAGCTCCAGGTACCTCATGCCAACTGGTCTGAAAGGTCTAATAACTGGGCATTCAGTGATGTAGTGCGGGAGATCATGCCGTAGTTCCTGCTCACAGAGTTTGCAACTGGAGTGCTCAGGATTGGGAGACCCGTCACCTGCAGCCACCTGCTACAGGTAACGGTAACCCAACCTGATCCTTGCAACCATTGTGTCGCACAGTCTAGTGGACGTTTTGTGCTGTCCATAGATGTAGGTTTCAGATCTGAACAAATCATAGCTTTTTATACTAGTACTTTCAGGTCGTTGGCAGTCAGTAAGTTCTTTCCTATCAGATCTGAATGTTTGGACCAATACAGTTTTGACAGCAGAGATGGGGATACCTAGATCTAATTCAACTTCAAACTTGTTACACGCTAATTTGGCTGCAATGTCTGTCTCATTATGATGGGTTATATTTATGTGTGAAGGTATCCATACAAAGGAGATTCGAGACCCTTTACTCTGTGCATCAATTAGGTCATTTATAATTGGGAGTATTAGGTTCTTGCTGTCGATCTTCCAAGAGAAGTTTTCGATTGCTTGAAGAGCAGACTTTGAATCACAGAATATTATTCCTCCTCCAATGTTTTTTAATGTACTGGTTGCTGGCTGACCTCCACACAAGTGTATTTCCTTTTTTTTTTTTTTTTTTTATTAAGTTATGAGGTACATCTGCATTAGTGCAGCTACCCTAGACTATATGAAGTGGAGTACAGTGTGTCAAAAAAAAGCTAACTAGGTGATGCTATAAAATCCCCATCACACAGGATGGTTAGTCATACAGAGACATGTGATAGGCGGTCTGCACTGGCAGACTCCGGATGCATTTTGAGGATATCAACAACACAAGATTGAATAAGGTAGCAGTGGTAATACAAGTCCCCATCTCGCAGGATGGTTAGTCATACAGGGCCATGTGTTTAATAGCCTGCACTGGCAAATTTTGGGTATACTGTGAGGATATCTTCAAGAATACGAGAGTGAATAAAGTAATTGCAAAGCTCCAGGTACCTCATGCCAACTGGTCTGAAAGGTCTAATAACTGGGCATTCAGTGATGTAGTGCGGGAGATCATGCCGTAGTTCCTGCTCACAGAGTTTGCAACTGGAGTGCTCAGGATTGGGAGACCCGTCACCTGCAGCCACCTGCCACAGGTAACGGTAACCCAACCTGATCCTTGCAACCACTGTGTCGCACAGTCTAGTGGACGTTTTGTGCTGTCCATAGATGTAGGTTTCAGATCTGAACAAATCATAGCTTTTTATACTAGTACTTTCAGGTCGTTGGGAGTCAGTAAGTTCTTTCCTATCAGATCTGAATGTTTGGACCAATACAGTTTTGACAGCAGAGATGGGGATACCTAGATCTAATTCAACTTCAAACTTGTTACACGCTAATTTGGCTGCAATGTCTGTCTCATTATGATGGGTTATATTTATGTGTGAAGGTATCCATACAAAAGAGATTCGAGACCCTTTACTCTGTGCATCAATTAGGTCATTTATAATTGGGAGTATTAGGTTCTTGCTGTCGATCTTCCAAGAGAAGTTTTCGATTGCTTGAAGAGCAGACTTTGAATCGCAGAATATTATTCCTCCTCCAATATTTTTTAATGTGCTGGTTGCTAAATGTAATGCTGCTAGTTCTGCTTGTGTGGAGGTCAGCCAGTTGTTTAACCTGACACTGACAGACTTTGTGCAGATATTATTTCTATAAAACCTACATGCCGCTGCAGTCCGTCCAGTAGAAGACTGGACTGAGCCGTCGGTGTAGACACAGTGCTCGTGAGATCTTAGACTCTCGATGGAGGAGGCAATTGTTTCAAGAGTGACAGCTTTGAGTAGAGCAAGATTCTCATTATCTTTCTTGGTGACAGGTGTGTATGATACTTGAATGGTGGGGTACAGATAAAGAGGAATATCAGAGACTGGTAGATTGCACTTAAAAGGAATGTTAAGTTTAATGAGATTGTAAGCATTGTTTCTCAGCCAATTATCATAAAAGGAGTGAGTTGGTATGTCGGCACCAGTCAAAAGGGTGTTAACAGCACTAAATAATTTGTCTCTGAGCAATGCAGGAGATGTAGGATCTCTCATGACTTTAAGACAGAAGGTAGTGTTAACTTGCATTATTCTCTCTGGTATGGTTGGAAACTTCAGTTCTTCCCTCATGTTGATGATTCTTGTGCATCTTGGGGCACCAAGAATTATCCTCATGGCCTCGTTCTGTATTACTTCGTTTGTCCAACACAGAGGAGGGGAAATTAATTAAGTGCAGAGCATTATAATCAACGAGAGATCTAACAAACATCATATAGAATAGTCTAGCATATTTAATATTGATACCAATATTCTTACCAGTAAGTGTTCTCAATGGTTTTAGTCTTTCTTTTAACCTACGGTGTAGATCATTTACAATGTCACTGTTAATACCAACTCCAAGGTATTTGTGCTGCCCACACGTTTCAATGTTCTGGCTGTTGACCTTGAAAGCTATAGGGACATGAGTTTTCTCTTTGGGATGGAGAACTCTGGATTTAGTTATAGAGATAACAAGACCACATTCAATGCTTTTAGCAGCGAATGAATCAAGTAGAGCTTGCAGTCTAGTTTGGGAATTTGCAACAATGCATATATCATCGGCATAACAAATGACGGCTTCGTCAGGTAGTGTGGGAATATCAATTGTTAATTTGTGCATCAGAACATTGAACAGTGTGGGACTTAGCACTCCACCCTGGGGTGTACCCAACTCAAAGGGTGCACAGAGTTTACTTTTGACCCCCTTGAAAAGGACTGAGGCGGTTCTGTTACTCAGGTACCCCCTGAGCCATGTCAACAGTCTTCCCTTAACTCCAAAAGAGGCTAGCTGTTCTAGGATTATTTCTTTGTTTGCTGTATCAAAAGCAGTTTGGAGATCAATAAATGCCGCCTGAGAGTTTGGTCCCCCTCTGATAAAATACTCAGCAAAGCAAGTTTGTGTGCTTCTTCCAGGAAGGAAACCATACAGGTTAGGGGCAAGGTGGGGCTTGATTTGAAACATTAGTCTGTCGAGAATAATTCTCTCAAGAACTTTGCACATGCACGACGTTAGAGAAATGGGTCTAAATTTTTGTGAATTAGGCTTGGGTATGGGTATTATGAGTCCCTGTGTCCAGCGGTCAGGTAAAACACCCTGCCTTAGACTTTGATTAAACAATTCTAGCAAAGGGCTATTTGGCAGCTCAGCAAGTACTCTCATGGTGTTGTATGTGATGCCATCCTCTCCAGGAGAGGTAGCCTTACCTTTCTTGAGTGCATTTTTAATTTCAAAGGGGGTTATGCCAGTGTATTTCCTTGCATGCTCAGTCTTATTTAAGTCTACGGCTTTTGCACAATACTTCTCTTTTAAGTCTACGGCTTTGCATCTTTAAAAAAAAAAGGCTTACAAAAGGATTTCACAACACCTATTTATGCCTACAGCTTTGCAAGGTCGTAGTTCCGTTTTCTCCTACTGACTTACGTCCTGCAGACTTGCCACCATGACCTACACCCTGCAGACTTGCCACGGTGACCTACACCCTGCAGACTTGCCACGGTGACCTACACCCTGCAGACTTGCCACGGTGACCTACACCCTGCAGACTTGCCACGGTGACCTACACCCTGCAGACTTGCCACCATGACCTACACCCTGTAGACTTGCCACCGTGACCTACACCCTGCAGACTTGCCACCATGACCTACACCCTGCAGACTTGCCACGGTGACCTACACCCTGCAGATTTGCCACGGTGACCTACACCCTGCAGATTTGCCACGGTGACCTACACCCTGCAGACTTGCCACGGTGACCTACACCCTGCAGACTTGCCACCATGACCTACACCCTGCAGACTTGCCACCATGACCTACACCCTGCAGACTTGCCACCGTGACCTACACCCTGCAGACTTGCCACCGTGACCTACACCCTGCAGACTTGCCACGGTGACCTACACCCTGCAGACTTGCCACGGTGACCTACACCCTGCAGACTTGCCACGGTGACCTACACCCTGCAGACTTGCCACGGTGACCTACACCCTGCAGACTTGCCACGGTGACCTACACCCTGCAGACTTGCCACGGTGACCTACACCCTGCAGACTTGCCACCATGACCTACACCCTGTAGACTTGCCACCGTGACCTGCACCCTGCAGACTTGCCACCATGACCTACACCCTGCAGACTTGCCACGGTGACCTACACCCTGCAGATTTGCCACGGTGACCTACACCCTGCAGACTTGCCACGGTGACCTACACCCTGCAGACTTGCCACGGTGACCTACACCCTGCAGACTTGCCACCATGACCTACACCCTGCAGACTTGCCACCGTGACCTACACCCTGCAGACTTGCCACCGTGACCTACACCCTGCAGACTTGCCACGGTGACCTACACCCTGCAGACTTGCCACCGTGACCTACACCCTGCAGACTTGCCACCGTGACCTACACCCTGCAGACTTGCCACCGTGACCTACACCCTGCAGACTTGCCACGGTGACCTACACCCTGCAGACTTGCCACGGTGACCTACACCCTGCAGACTTGCCACGGTGACCTACACCCTGCAGACTTGCCACCGTGACCTACACCCTGCAGACTTGCCACGGTGACCTACACCCTGCAGACTTGCCACCATGACCTACACCCTACAGACTTGCCACCATGACCTACACCCTCACCAACTGCCCCTGGAAACTTCCCACACTGACCTAGCTACACCCTGGCCTTCACCCTACAGACCCAGAGCTGGAGGACGTGATGCAGGACTCCCGCCTGGAGCTGGAGGAGCTGTACGGAGGTGTGGTGTCCAAGGAGGAGCTGGCCAGGATAGACTCCCAGCCCAACCCCTTCAGCTTCAGCGAGCGCGTCTCCCAGACCACTAGACTCATAGTCAAGGTAACCTCAGGCAACATGCAGGCTTGGACACTGACACCCGCTGTTCCTCTCACATTAATGACGATTGTCAGTGTCAACGGTCTGTGGACCTTCTGTTAAATTATTCAAACACTTTGACCTGAACTATAGACTTGATTTTTTTTTTTCTAATCTCAAGTGGAGTAAAAATTTACATAACTTATGTAATTTATTTGGCTTTGCTTGATGCATTATGAGGATATCGCAACACTCAGTGGCTCATCTTGATGTTGTAACACAAGTCTAGAAAAACTATTTCATGTATGAAGAACAGAAAAGAACTGTACAACAGTGTAGTGAAGTGTCCTTGAGAGCAGGCGCTTACATAGGCACTCAGGGAGAGGAAGTGGTGTCGAATGTGACGCCGAACATGGGGAAATTGTATTTAGACGTCGACCTTCATATGCCACCATTATTGTGTCGAGGACAAGGAAGGAATTGAGAACGTTATGTCCCTGGCTTACACACACATGTGGTGGGGTAGTGTGGAGTGTACCACACCTGCCAGGGCACACCAACACTGTGCTTGGACTGAAGCTTCCTTATGATTGGTTGTTCCGACATTCTTGTTACAGTAAGGCAGACCTATGCTGCCTAAGAGTCATCAGTTCTCAAATAATAGTAATCTTGTTCCTTTTATGTTGAAATAATTAGGGTGGAGTGTCCAAAGTGGACAACTACTAGAGCATTTACATAAATGATAGATATGCTGGCCTTCACTACCAGTCAGAGAAGGTGAGCATGTAATGCTGACCTTGTGGTCAGGGTCAGCATGTAATGCTGACCCTGACAACAATTTTTTTTTATCTTGGTTTGAATATTTGATTCAAATGTTTTATTGTTTTATATTAGTGCTGTAGGGAATTTTGCGGTGTGTGGTGCTGCAGGCTCGGGTCTCCTGCCTCACAAGCTGAGACACTCGTGGACATGTGCTGCAGGCTCGGGTCTCCTGCCTCACAAGCTGAGACACTCGTGGACATGTGCTGCAGGCTCGGGTCTCCTGCCTCACAAGCTGAGACACTCGTGGACATCTGATGTGACACACTTCATGGTAGTGGCCTGGTAACATGGTGGATAATGCGCAGGACTCCTAATTCTGTGGCGCGGGTTCGATTCCCGCACTAGGCAGAAACAAATGGGCAAAGTTTCTTTCACCCAGAATTCCCCTGTTACCTAGCAGTAAATAGGTACCTGGAAGTTAGTCAGCTGTCACGGGCTGCTTCCTGGGGTGTGTGTGTGTGGTGTGGGGAAAAAAAAAGTTAGTAACAGTTGATTGACAGTTGAGAGGCGGGCCGAGAGAGCAAAGCTCAATCCCCACAAACACAACTAGGTGAACTAGGTGAATACTTGAGGCAGAGAGTGATTCTGAAGGCTCAAGACTCCTGCCTCTCTTGAAAGCACAGATCATCGTGGAAGTAGTGTAAACGTGACCTATGACAGACCCTATTACTTTTTCCAATTGACGGTCGTAGGTCCACTATTTTCAATAGTTTCACCCTCGACATTCTTCTGTTATACATTTTTCTGTGTCTATTCAAAGATTACTTATTTATACCAAGAATGTTTTGGTCTCTAGACAAGGATTGTATGTTTATACGAAACATTATTCAGTGTCTAGATTTCAGTGTCTAATTATAAGTTATTTATACCAAATATTTTTCAAAGGCAAATCAAAGATTGCTCATTGAACACATGAATTAAAGAAATTGAAGCAATTCTATTGACCTATACAAAAGCAGCTCCTTTTCATTTCCGCCCAAATTCTCCCAAATATATGCACAGTCTATGCTTCATGCAATCAAGTGATCCTTATCATTTCTTCACTAAGATTTAGGGCTTACTTGCCTATATACAGCAGCGTCTATTTATATCCACCGAAACTTCTTCATATATGTGTTCAAAGTATGCGTAGTGAGTAATCTGGTAAGCTGTCCCACATCTCTCTCTCCCAGCCAGTATTTGTCCATGTTTAAATTTATAATTTTATGTATTAAATAATTATCTAATTATAGATTATCTAATCTTTGTTAGCCTAACCTAACCTGTGATATTTTATCCAAGATATAGTTACCGTAACTTATCTAAATTTAACCTATTCTATCGAAATTTATCCTAACTATATCACAACCAAAGATGAATTTAACTAAATTTGGTAAAATATGACCTATCCTGCCTGGACTTGACCTAATCTATGTATCCTAACCTACTCCATGATAAACTATTCTGGCCTATCTTTACCAAGTCTAACCAAACATAATCTGTGTTATCCCATTATATCCAATCCAAAGTTAACTAAATTTATTGCATTCCAACAAAATTTAACCTAATTTTGCCTACCCAATTATACCTTACCACAATTTATTCTCCTACACCTCTCACCTATTCTATCCTCACCCGTCCATTCATCCAAGATCTCATTTACTTAGAAAACGAACATTATTTCAATAATTTACACTCATTTCCTTACTTCCCAGCTTACACCCTTACCTTACCTCAACTCCACTTAAGAGTTCTACAATCTCAAATACCTAATTAAAGCACAATCACACCTTATTTTCGGTTAAAAATAAAAGAAAATTTTATTTACATACATTTTCTTCAAATAACATTCTACACACCCCTCCTAATACTACCTATTTATTTAGTTCCAAATCTTCTAAGATATCTAATCCCATCCACATCTGTATATTGCACAAAATCACACCATTTTTAAGGTATAAATCATAGAAATTACATCTCACAGCCATTTTCCTCGGCATACATCCAATATACCCGTTATTGGACATTAACCTAACCTAATCATCAATGACCGAACTTCCAATACCAGTGTCAGAGCTCATTTGTTTTCAACCATATTCTTAGAAATGTGACGTTATTTGACATCAACCAAACTTGCCTTGATCTAACTTCTAATGCACTGGACCCCATTTCACATATTCTAAGTTATATTTTTGCTATTTCTATGTATTATCAAATTATCAATTTGCACAGTGCAAGTATTAGCACTAAGGGTGTGGGTGGGTGTTGCACAGTACCAGTACTAGTACTGAGGGTGTGGGTGGGTGTTGCACAGTACCAGTACTAGTACTGAGGGTGCACAGTACCAGTATTAGTACTGAGGGTGTGGGTGGGTGTTGCACAGTACTAGTACTGAGGGTGTGGGTGTTGCACAGTACCAGTACTAGTACTGAGGGTGTGGGTGGGTGTTGCACAGTACTGAGGGTGTGGGTGGGTGTTGCACAGTACCAGTACAGTACTAGTACTGAGTTGCACAGTACCAGTACTAGTACTGAGGGTGTGGGTGGGTGTTGCACAGTACCAGTACTGAGGGTGTGGGTGGGTGTTGCACAGTACCAGTACCAGTACTGAGGGGTGGGTGGGTGTTGCACAGTACCAGTACTAGTACTGAGGGTGTGGGTGGGTGTTGCACAGTACCAGTACTAGTACTGAGGGTGTGGGTGGGTGTTGCACAGTACCAGTACTAGTACTGAGGGTGTGGGTGGGTGTTGCACAGTACTAGTACTGAGGGTATGGGTGGGTGTTGCACAGTACCAGTACTAGTACTGAGGGTGTGGGTGGGTGTTGCACAGTACCAGTACTAGTACTGAGGGTGTGGGTGGGTGTTGCACAGTACCAGTACTAGTACTGAGGGTGTGGGTGGGTGTTGCACAGTACCAGTACTAGTACCGAGGGTGTGGGTGGGTGTTGCAGAGCGTGGGTGTGCAGACGGAGCCGCCACCAGGCACCAGGTTCTCAGACACCGCGGGCTTCAACAGCATCACCTGTGCCTACCTGGAGGACCGTGACGAGGAGCGTCGCCACCACAGGCAGGACACCAGAGACCGCCCCACCACCACCACCACAGTGGTACGCTGCCCCCTTCTGCCGTATATTACAACCTACACTCTTCCTTTGTTAGTAATATGTCCCGTTTTATATACAAAAGTTGTTACATTCTTGTAGAGCCACTAGTACACTTAGCGTTACGGGCAAGTCCTTAATCCAAAGGTCCCTGGAATACGACCCCCGCGAAGAATAGTTTTTACAACCAAGTACACATTTTACTGTTGAGTTAAACAGAGGCTACAGTTAAGGATTTGCGCCCAGTAAATCCTTCCCGGCCAGGATACGAACCCAGGACAAAGCGCTCGCGGAACGCCAGGCGAGTGTCTTACCACTATGCCTTAGAGACTGAAACTGTTAGTGAGTAATATAAGATTTAGAAGCATGTGGCGCCTTCTCTATAGCGCCACCTTACTCTATGTAGTGTGGTATAGAGAAGGCATCAAGGTTGGCTGCTTGAGTCAGGAGGCTTCGGTCAACTGGCGGTTGTTAGATGCGTCGACTTGAGAGGTCAGTGGCTGGGCTCCCCAGGTGTCCTAGCCCAGCAGTCTCCAGGAGTAAGGGTTAACGCTGCTCTCTGGGTTAACATTATCTTCTGTCCCTGATGGGGGGGGGGATGGCTGGGGGCGACGCCCGGGGGGTTACCAGGGGTCTGGCCACCTACCTCAGGGTTATGTATGACATGACCTACAGGAGGAAATATTTCCCCCCGGGCGTGCACATTGACCACAACTCCCTCTGAACAGTGATCTGTTAATCGCAGTTAAATTATTTATTTGTGCCAATTCTAGTGATCTTAGAGAAACTTAAATATTACTTCCTGAGGGGGGGACTCATATCGTCCCGTAGAGGGAGGAGATGTGTTCAGTTCACCCAACTGGGGCTCGAACGCGTCGAGTAAATCACCAGGCGGGTGGCAGTGGTGATGTGAGCCATCACACACAAACAGTACAGAACAAGTATAAGGCAGTTGACTATCTAGTAGTACCAGAAGCCGGGGACTCGGGCGGGCTCGCCAAGAGCCTTCTGGCCCACATTATCAGTCCCAAGTGGGATGTGGACTTCGCAAACAGAGTGGTAGACGGTTGGAACAAGTTAAGTGAGAAGGTGGTGGAGGCCAAAACCGCCAGTAGTTTCAAAGCGTTATATGACAGAGTGCTGGGCAGACGGGACTCCACGAGCGTAGCTCTCATCCTGTAACTACACTTAGGTAATTACTAACTCAGCGTCTCCAACACCAACAGTGTATCTCTGCTCTTGAAACTAAAGTGACTCTCAAGAGCAGTTAATCAATACACAGAGATTCATGTTCAAATATTATCAATATGCGTAGGCCTACTGGCCACTGCGGCAGGTATGTTATTGTATGAAGTTATTCATCCCGGTCGACAGAACTTGCAATACCTTTACCACAGTGAGACAGTGATTGATGACGTGCACTACCCCCTCTGGGACTGTGATTGATGACGTGCACTACCCCCTCTGGGACTGTGGTTGATGACGTGCACTACCCCCTCTGGGACTGTGGTTGATGAAGTGCACTACCCATTCTGGGACAGTGATGATATGCACAATCCCCCTCAGTCACATCATCAGTCACTAACTCCCTTTGGGACAGTGATGACGTGCACTGCACCTTCTAGGACATTGCTTGATGAAGTGCACTGCCCCTCTGGGACAGTGATGACGTGGACTGCCCCCTCTTAGAGTGACTAATGCCTCGATTCTGACACTGGGGGTCCTCAGGGTAGCTTACCACCCCCCCCCCCCCCAGGGACAGTGTGGACGTCTGGGGGTCCTCAGGGGAGCTTACCACCCCCAGGGACAGTGTGGACGTCTGGGGGTCCTCAGGGGAGGTTGCTAGGGGTCCCTGAATGCTCGGGTGAACTTAGGGGTCAAGTGTTGACTATGGTACAGGGATTAGGGGGAGCGTGTGGGAGAGAAGACGGAGCCTCCCCTCCTCCTAGAATACATGACGGCTGGTGTTTAACTGTGACCATTAACCAGTGTTGTTATTGTCGTACAGGCGAGGGACCCCATCGTGCTGATAGGGACCCCTGAGCCGCCGTGTCGCCGGCTCCTCCACCACTTGGACCTGCCAGGCCTGGCCACCGTGGCCACCGTCCTCGAGAGGATGGTCACTCAGAACATTTACGACGACATTGCTCAAGGTAGGTGTGGCAGGTGTGACCAGGTGTGACCAGCTGTGGCCAGCTGGAAACAGGTGTGACCAGGTAAACACAGGTGTGGCCAGGTGTGACCAGGTGGACACAGGTGTGACCAGGTGGATACAAGCCGGCATGGCTTGTCTACAGTGTACGAACATAAGGTGTAGGTGTCAGTCTTCAGGCACTGTAGCAGCAGGTGTAGGGGGAGGTCAGTCTTCAGGCACTGTAGCAGCAGGTGTAGGGGGAGGTCAGTCTTCAGGCACTGTAGCAGCAGGTGTAGGGGGTCAGTCTTCAGGCACTGTAGCAGTAAGTGTAGGGGGAGGTCAGTCTTCAGGCACTGTAGCAGCAGCAGGTGTAGGCGGGGGTCAGTCTTCAGGCACTGTAGCAGCAGCAGGTGTAGGCGTAGGCCAGTATTCAGATGCAGCCTGAACAAGAGGTGTGGGTTTCAGACTTGCGGTACTGGGAGGACGGGAGCGACGAGTTCCACCCGCTGCTCGGGTCACTGCTGCCGCTCTGGAGGTTCCGGCCAGACCAGCAGTGTCGCCGCCTCACCCTCGCCGACGTCTCCTGGAGCCCCATACACCCGGACATCTTCGCCGCCGCCTACGCCTCAGGTGAGCCCCTGACTGGGAGGGGGGGGGGTTGTGGGTTACGGTGTCGTAGGGGGAGTTGTGGGGGGATGGAGGGTCTTAGATGGCAGGGGGTCGAAGGGGGCAGATTAACTGCTTGTTGACGGAGGCACTCTGCCTGCCAGAGTGCCGCACCTGGCATTGTGTGGTGGAGTGTGAGGCAGGTCAAGTGACTCATCTTGGCTGTCATAGAGGTGGACTTCCAGTGTGATGACATAGGTGAGAGGAAGGCGCAATTCCACTGCTATGAATGGGATTTACGTGACAGTTCCTCCCTAAAGCCTCTTCCTACTGCCTGAGATGTTAATGCTGGAAGGATGTTGGATGTTAAAGGTTCCACTTCATGGACACGGGACAGTGCATCTGCAACTATGTTGCCTGATTCTTTGATGTAGAAGATCTGGAAGTTATAATTTTGTAGGTACAAGCAGACACTGGTTGGAGAATTGGGCTTGTTGGAAAAAAACGAAGAGGATTGTGGTCCAAATAGATAATGATGAATTGATGACCTTGAAGGTAAGGTTGATATCATTGCAAGCATAGGACGATGGGGAGTAGATCCTTTTCTGTGGTGCTGTAGTTTCGTTGGTGAGGCCTGGGGCATTCATTCAACTATCTATGGCCTGGGGTCATAGATAATTACTAATATTACTTAAAGCATTTAACTTACGCCTACCTCGACCAGCCTCTGACCATTCCGTACCACGGAAGAGTCCCCCTGCAAATCTGGGTGAGGCTCGCCCCAACTATCTAGCCTTCAACTTTGGACAGACAGACAATCGTTGTCATGGTTTGAATGTGATCCTTGCAAGCTATTCCCTCTTGAATAATAATAGTAATAATAATAATAATAATAATAATAATAATAATAATAATAATAATAATATTTTTTCAAGTAAAAGTACATACATTCAAAAAGAGTTACAAACAGAATGTTGGCTTCCCAGACAGTACACACTATTCGTAAAGCATCTAATACACACCACGTTTCGGGCAATTACCTCCTGGTGTCTGCCCTTCAGCTTTGAAATGGCAAACAGACATTCCCTTTTATAGATATACTATTGGAGTCCCCAGAGTATAGTGGGGTTCCCAGAGGCCCATGTCTGTCTGTCTGTCTGCTTCCCATCTTTCAATCTAGCTTTTGATCTCTATCCATCCATCCATTTGTCCATCTATCCATCCGTCCATATATCCATCTATGCATCATCTATCCATCCATTCATCTATCCATCTGTCGGCGATGAGTCACAATAACGTGGCTGAAGTATGTTGACCAGACCACACACTAGAAGTCATTCTCAAGTCACAATCGACTTGAGAATGGTCCAGGACGGACCGAAACGTCGTCGTCCCTTCAACTTCTAGTGTGTGGTCTGGTCAACATATCCATCTGTCCACCCATCTGTCCACCCATCTATCTATCCATATATCTATCCACCCATCCATCTACCCATCAATCTATCTATTCATTTATCCATCTATTAATTAATCCATCTATCCCTTCATCTACTCATCTCTATATTACTTATCTATAGATGAATAGATGGATCCATGAATCAATCCATCTATTCAACAATTCATCTGTCCCTCTATCTATCCATCCATCTAACCATCCATGAATCCACCCATCTATCTATCCATATTTTCATCCATCTACTCATCTATTTATCCGTCTATTTATCCATCTATTTTTCTATCCATTCATCCATCTATACATCCATTACTCAATCTATCCATCTAGTAATCCATCCATCCACATGTCCTGTGGGATAAACCTGCTGGGATTGATATAAGAGGAGACTACCAGGGACTTATACTGAACTAAATTAAAAAATTACTGTCTGCAAATTAATTCAACTAAAATCTCTAGCTAGGGTTGTAAATCCTAGCCCCTCTTTTCCTAATGACAGATTGTGGGCTGTAAGGGACAGGTGGGGTGAATGACTTTGTTGATAGAAGTTCCAGTCCACCTGTAGACAGGGATCTCACATCAGCTTGTATTTTATACAAGGATAAGATCTGATAAATTCAGTTATCTGACTGAACACTGGCTCTGTTTAAATCAGGGATTTAAACATACATAGTCTAACCTAGCACCATAACTATTAACAGCCAATATGTTCTTATACTATAAACAACAAATTAAATTGAAAAAGTATAATAAATGACCTTAAATGTAGTCTAAATACTGTTAAGTACTAGAAATTATATTCAATTAAATGAACTTATATGATAACTTAAAAATAACTAAGCAAGCAATTGATAACTTAATTTATATATTCAAATATATATGCAGACATATTCAATTTATACAGTTAGCTTGACTGAATCTTTTCCAACACTGTGGACACTTGTGAGGTTTTTACTTATTGAGGCTGAATTCTTTCCGACACAATGGACACTCATGAGGTTCAGTGCTTGGATAAGATTCACAGCTACACTACAATTTTAATAAACGTACCGATGAATGAGGCTTTGCCTCGCTTTATTACCGACAGACAGATTTATAGAATATTAAAGTTATACAAGCATACAATTGGCCAATTAATAAGCTACTGTAATAAACTTCAATATACTTATCTGAAGCCGGGTGCCTGTCTGACAAGTTTGCCAGACTGATTAACTCTCTTGTCGAGTTTAGGCACTATATTTTGCTACAGCGTTGCTGTATGATGATCTGGTAGCGTTGCTACGTGATTGTCCCTGCTGTTGCAGAAGAATGAGTAGATAAAGATAAAGAATGAAGGTGGAGGAAACCGTGTCACCGTGATCTCCACTAAACACTCTTATTTTATAGAAATGTTCTAGGATTTTCCTTGTAGATATTGTCCAGGTACTCCCCCAGTTCTAGAGTATTCACTGGCGATAAAAATGTTAGATAAGGTGTCCTTGAGCTGGTAATGTTCGCTAAGGATCAGTCACTTGTTCACTCATTTGTAAACGCAGAGTGCCTCTGGGCTTTGTTGGTGGGCGCTTCACTCCCCCCATCGCCCTGCCATGCTCTCTGTGCACGGTAGCCTTCTATGAATATTGATTGATTATTTTTACAGTCTAGACTTATGATTAAGATAAGATGTGATTATAATATAATTAGATATAAGATTTAAAGATTATAAGTAGTATTTGTAAGTACCACTGATTCTTATTAAGGATTCGATTTTTAATCCTACCGGATGTTGAATCAATGTTCCAAAAGTTTTTTAATTAGCAAATCCTTCTAGAAGCTTCTGGATCCTTGAGAGATCATGTACAAAGTCACGTAGGCATCAAAAGGGCCCCTGTTGCGTACGTGTTCATGGTGCCATTGTCATCCAGGATCAAGCTATATAATGAATCTATAATGATTCTAATATGATTTTGATACGATTTAGATATGATTTTGATATGATTTAGATATGATATAGAAATTATACATTTCTTAGATGATTATTAGATATGGTGGGTAAAAATTTCCCACATCTTCCAGAGGGAGAGAACTGGCACAGAGTCCAATACTTAGGACAATAGTAACCATATGTATTTATTTACTCTCCATTGGATTGATAATACAAGTGCAAATTTTGCTTGCACTTTTGTGCTGCTGTCCGTTGTGGACGATTGTGTCTGTTAGGAGTCTGTGGGTCTTGTGGAGTTAGTTTGTCTTGAGGTCTCTCAGGATCTAACTGCAGTTGACTCACTGATTCCATGTGGATGAGTTTGTCCAATGTCTTCAAGGAAGTTGTTCCTTTAGACAGGATTTTGACTATTCTCAAAATCCCCTGACTATCTGGATGGACTGAGACAACTTTACCTAATGGCCAGTCAGCCCTAGGGCCATCACTGACAATATCCAAGACCAAGACAATATCGCCAGGTTGGAGATTAGATATATTATGTGGGACATTAGCCCCATAGTGATGTTCTCGTAGAGATGTAAGATATTCTTTTGTCCAAACATCATTCTATTTTTGGATTATGCTGAACAGATGCTTATACCCCTGAACCAACTCGCTCTGACCCACATATGAGGGATCTCTGATCTCATCATCCACTAGAGATGGTCATGGAGTCAGAAGTCTTCCATACATTAGGTAGGCAGGACTTAATGGCTCATGTTGAGTAGCATCATCAGACAAGTAAGTCAACGGCCAGTTATTCACCCCTTGAGTCTGTTTCCGTGATTACTGTCTGGAGTTCTTGAAGATTTATTTTCTGACGGTGTAGAGATTTTCTCAAGGATCTTTTAACAGTTCCTATTAACCGTTCATAAAATCCTCCATGCCATGGGGCTCTCGGCGGGATAAATTTCCATCTGCAATGACGCTGTTCCAGTGTGGAAGTGACTGCAGGATGGGAACAGATTTCCCATAGACATGCTTCTCCAGCTACCAAGTTTGCTCCATTATCTGAAATTATCAGCGTAGGGCATGATCGGCGTGCTGCAAATCTGCGGAAAGCTTGTATAAATGATTGAGCAGTCATATCGGGTGTTACCTCTAGATGTACTGCCCTGGTGGTAGCACAGGTGAACAGACAGATGTATGCCTTGATAGGTTCCTTATCTGCAGTCCCTGTTAGATATATTGCTTCTGTATAATCTACTCCTGTCGTCTCGAAAGGATGTAGATGGACCACTCGTTCCTTTGGTAGGGGTGGTGGCCCTGGATAAGAGCAAGTTCTTGCATCGTACCTTCGGCATATCATACAATACTTCAAGATTGATTTGACTGACTGTCTTCCCTGAGGAATCCAGTACTGCTGTCTGATTTGTGTGAGTGTGTCTAACACTCCTCCATGTTTGATGATTTGTTGATGTGTATGCAACACAATCAACCTTGTGATCCAATGATTTTTTGGTAAAAGCCATGGATGCACGGTATCTAGATTGATATCTGCGTGTTTAAGTCTCCCTCCACAACGCAGAATGTTGTGAATTCCTTGGTCTATCCACAGACCGAGATTGTGTTTTAACTTATGCGGAAAATTTTCATAGTTATTCCCATAAGTTTCTCTCTGGGCTTGTCTTACCCAATAGATAAGTGCATCTGGAAAAGTGTATTTTATACCTTTTTTCCTGAGATAATGAAACACGTTCTGTGTTACATTGATTAATTTGATGAGCAAGGAGTAACGAGTACAATCCAAGACTGATATTTGAGCTTGCTGCCTGGTGGTAGTTATGGTTTGTGTCGTAATGACGTGTGGCTTTTGTTCAGGCCAACTACCATTCACTAACCATCGAGGCCCATGAAACCAAATATTTGCCTTTGCAAACTGTTTAAATGTCATACCTCTTGATAAGAGATCAGCTGGATTATCCTTTGTTGGTACATGCAGCAATTGAAAGCCTGCGGAAATTTCTTTAATTTCCGAGACGCGATTTTTTACATATGGAGTTGGACAGTTGTCGTTTCGTACCCATTGTAAGACAGCTTCATTGTCAGACCATATAATGACATCTTTGATGTTCATGGTAGACAAGACTTGTTTGATATGCACTGCTAAGCGTGTTCCAGTTAGCAGTGCTGTTAGTT